TAAAATTTTTAAAAAAAAAACGTACCTGTAGATTCCTAGTACTCTTGCCGTCTCTTGGTTGTCGTCCGGCCATTTTTTCGATTTTTTTGGGATTTTTTCGAATGATTTTTGAAAAAAAAAATTCTTTCAATTTTTTTGATTTTGTGCGGTTTGTTTTGGGAAGGAGGACGAAATTTTTTTTTTTGATATGGTGGGTGGTGGGCCGACGGGTTTGGAGCTTAATTTCCAATTTTGATATTTTTTTTTTTTTAATAAAAGGGTAATTTAGTATTTTAGGGGTGCGGTACGTAGTAAAATGGGTGCGTTATTTAGCAATTCAGTTCCTTAAATTACCCTAATTAGGGTTAACTTTTGAAATCCCACATTAATTCCAACTACAGTTGCGTCTCTGCGTGTGTTGTGTTGTGTTGTGTGTATAATATCAGCAGTATTTTAGAAGCTTTTCTTCTTCCCCACCTCACTTCTCTCTAACATCCTCTCTGCAAATCTCTTTCAACTTCTCTTTGTTCTCTCTCGTAAATCCTTTCGTAGTTTCCATTTTTCACAGCACCAAAAACTATTGATCGATTCACACACGCCTACGCGCATCCGTTTAAATTCCAGCCTTCCCCTTTGAATTCACTTTTTCTCCGATGAACCTTCGCCGCCGATCAAGCATCACATAGGGTATTTTCGTGTGTGTGTGTGTCTGTGAATCTTCTGAGGAGCAATCAACCATCTGTGTCGTTTTCGTGCGATTCACGCCGCCTCTTTTGACGGCCATTTACACCTCCTGACATGGCGTCCACCGCCCCTGCCAAATCGCAGCCCCTGCACAACTTCGCCCTGCCGCATCTCAAGTGGAACAAGGATGCCCAGCCTGATAGCCACCACCACCACCACCAGCGCCGCCGCTCGATCAAATCCCCGTCTCGGAGGCCGACCGCGCCCTCCTCCTCATCCCCGGTTCGCCACTCGCCGCTGCGAGAATCCGTCTCGGCGACGCCGCCGCGCCACCAGTCACCCCTCTCGTCGGCGCCTCCTTCGCTGCGAGAGTTCCCTGTTCACAACGATTCACTCTGGAGGCAGCCGGTCGGCGAGTGGGCTCGGAGGTCTCCGATAGCCCCCGATCAACCGCTCCACCTCCGGAGGCATGACCCTGCTCCCGAATCGAGGTCCTCCGGCAAGGGTAGAGCCGATTCGTCTGAGCACCAGAGGTTTAACTCGAAGGTTCCTCAGACAATCCCCGAGCGAGGTACTCAGAAATTCGAGACCAAATCGAAAGCGAAGGAAGCCGACGAGGTCGGAATAGCGAGATCGAAGAAAATCCTGATCAAAATCCCTTTCAGAAAGGACAAAACAGACGATGAAACCCCACCGGAAGAGCCGCCGAAAATCGACAAGAAAATTGCGGCTGACGAGGCTGGACCGGTGGCAGTAGAGGGGAAAATCAACAGCAGCACAGATGAGGAGACCAAGATATGGAATCTGAGGCCTCGAAAGCCGATTCGGGCCTCACCGAGCGAGAATTGGGCTATGGCTAGAAACATCGGGCCGGCCATGGCCGAGAAGAGTAAAGGTCAGTCCCCGTCGAATGGAGATAACGGCCAAAAGAAGGCCGGCGGCGAGAAGAAGGTCAAGAGGAAACTGAGCGTCTTCATCTCTCTAACCAAGGAGGAGATCGAAGAGGACATTTTCTCCTTCACCGGATCGAAGCCCGCAAGGAGGCCAAAAAAGAGAGCTAAAAACGTGCAGAGACAAGTCGATGTAAGACAAGATCTTATCCCTAATTCTTATCCCCTTTTGGTTGTCTGGAATAATCGTGTGATTAATCATGGTTTTTTTGTGGGATTTTTGCAGACACTTTTTCCTGGAGCGTGGCTGATGTCAATAACTGCAGATTCATACAAAGTGTCTGAAAATTCTCTCAAGGTGGTTTGATTTTTTCAGTCTTCATCCCTACAACAAGATCAGATTTGAAAATTTTCATTTTTTTTTTTTTTTGCTGATTAACGGTGGCTTCATATGCAGGGTTAGATGCACTCAGGGGACAGATGATGATAAGCTTCCAGATTTTGTTAATGGCAGAATAAAGGGCATTTAGAGGTATTATAAATTACAGTGTCTTCGTACCTGCAACTGCAAGGAAGGAGATATGTTATTTAAGGGTTTATTTAACCAGTTCCTTTTTATTTTTCCCTTATTTTTTCTTCATTTGCAGCTGATTTCTCAAAGAATTGAGAGGTTAATGCTGGCTCTTTTAATTATCTGTAGTGGCAGTGGTTGTAAATATGGATTTCTTTATCTTTCAATGCTTCATTTGAGTATTTATTTTTGCTGTGTTTTTTTCTTTTCACCTGTTCCTCTTCATTGCAGATTTTGTTTGTTTGCCCCGTTATAATTTGGTTGGGGGCTTTTGGTGTGAAGCCAAAAAAAAGTCTAGATGGGTTTTCTCTGTGTAGGTCATTTATAGATAGATATTTGCATAAAAGTTCTCATACATCATAGATGTTATTCTATATTTATATTGTAACTCGAAGCTAGGGTTGCGAAGGAGCCTAGCTAAGCAATGCCCTTATCGAGTTGAATTCATTTTTTTGACTGTTGCTCGAGTTTGACGAGCCAATCTTGTTAAAGCTTGGCTCAACACGAAATTATTATACAAGTGCTCGAGATCGCCTAGAATTTTAAGAAAATTTTGCTTGATTTTGGGCTGATTTAGATGAGTTAAAGGAGACATGGAATACATATGGTGACCTACAACAATGGATAAAGATCCTAATATTTAGGCAATTAGATGTATGCTCGAGCGGCTTGTTGAGTTATCAAGCTTACATAATACAAGCTCGAGCTCAGCTTGAGTTAAAGTTTGAAGTGCTCGAGTTTGGTCAAACTGGGGCCAGAGCTGAGGTTAGAATTGGGCCAGTCGACTCGTTTGTAGCCTTCCCAATGCCAAACAATTTCACATTTTGTGATAAAGGGATCAAAGTGCAAGAACGGTTTGAATTAATTTTTAAAACTGTATGGTGAAATCCTTTTTCTTTTGATTTTTCTGATTCATCTCCTTCCTTTGTTTTCAAGGATTTTTATTTTCTTCTTCGCTATTTCTATGTGATGTTTTTGTCCCTTGAATTTTGTTTAGAAAATGACTAAAATAAGCATAAGGATCAATGGACCATCATGTGATGATTGGTCTCCTCATATCCTCATATGGGTGCCTTTTATATGCTGCATTTTCCTTTGATATTTTTGCCCTTCAAAACCTGATATCGCCTTTTGGTAATTGCTGTATATGTAGAGAAGATATAATTAAATAAATAATGGTAATTGGTATATATATATAGAAGATATAAATAAAGGATAAAGAAATGGAAAGTGGGGTTTCTGTTCAATTATGGTGGCATCAAAAGTTCAAAACTAATGGCTGGCTTGATTTTACAGGAAGGATACCAAAGAAACTTTCAAACTTTATGTTCCAATAACTTTTCCTTTATATAGTAAATACACTCTATTCAGTTTCCGTGACTTTATTTCCATTTTGTACTTTCAAAATCTTTATGGCCCAGTTGCTCATCTATCAATATATAAATGTACTATTTATCTATTATATTTTTCTCCTTTTATTCACTCACATTATATAATTTAATTTTAAATTTAAAAATATCACTTCTTGTAATTATCTATATAATTTACTCTTGATTTACTCAGATATTTATAACTAGCAGATATTATTTTATTTTTTCCTATCCTGTTATAATAAATTATTATACTTTATATTACATCATTTTACATGAAAAATATAAGTACTCTAATTTTCTAAACTATCCAATCGTACCCTAACGATATTTACAAATTTGTAAAATCATAATACTAATTGACAAAATTTAAAAGAATATTAAATTTGTAAATTATTATACTAATTGATAGAATTTATTAATGAATTTATTTATATATGTGTTTTGCAAATCACTCTTTTAGCTCCAATTTCATCTATGCATGTTTTTATTTCCATGTTTTGGTTTGAGCTTATATCCTTAACTTTCAATATAAATATAGAACCTTTATCATGTCTAATCGATTATTGCCATCCCATGAGAGAGGAAGATTGGTTATCAAGAAGTTACATAAAAGGACATTCCTTCCTCTTTTAACATAGATGATTCCTTATTCCGTTTTCCCCCTTTTCAATTCTTTCTTCTCTTCAATTTTTTCTTTTCTTTCTTTTCATTTTTACGGATAATAAAAATACAAGTTCACTCACAAATTTTCGTATCAGAATTCTCCCTAAAAGTCTATATCTTCAATTTCGGCTGGTGAATGGATGGCGGCAGCACGGTTTGACTGCACGCTTTTGGTCCAAGGCTCGGCTCGTGGGCGGATGGGCTGGCGGAAAGCTGGTTTCAGTCGGGGGCGGCGGGCGAATAACGGCCACCGGATATGTTGGGCACCTCTCGGCCGATTCATTGGCTTCTTGACCCCCACACGCTTCTTCGTCGGCCCTTTCTTGTAGTCTGAGGTCGGCGTTTTTAGGGTTCCAATGGAAGACTAAGTGGTTAATTTGAAGATGTTAGAATATCACTTGTGAGTTGTCCCACATCTTTCATATATGAAAAATAGACCCACCTTATAAGATTAATGGGCTACTCCTCCTTCCACCAATTGGTTTGGGATGGAACCCCATTTGGGCTTCATATGGGCTTTTCTCTTCTTTCATGGTGTCCTTCATGGTAGTGGATCAGCACATATTTTCCCCCAATTTCTTTCAGAGGAATTTAGGGTTAGGGTTTGATCGGAGGTTTATGTTTGAAGTGATTCTAGAAAAAAAAATTTGATATCTAAAACAAAAATATTATAAACTAAATTTTTACTAATATATAATGCTTCATGTTCATTGAAAAAAAAAATCAAACAGTCTTTTATATAAATATGTCTAGGCACCCGCTAGCCCCGACATGATTGCCACGATTTTTGCCTAGACGGCCATTACAAGCGTCCGAAAGATTTAACGAGGGTTATGAGGTTGTAAAGTTACTCACGTGTAGAGTTTATACTGGCTATACCCGCCCATATTATTTTTACTTAATTACTAAATAATAAAAAATAATTTTAATTTTTGTGTGTGGAATACATCAAATATAAAATAAAAATTAATAATCATTATATTCCGATTAACACAATAATTATGAATGTATTAAATATTTCATGATTTATACTTGACCATATTAATTAATATATTCTATAAAATATATCTCATAAAACATACATTATGATAAATATAGATAAATTTTATTAATATTTTTATGAATCGTCTAAAAGCTTTTTAAAACATTGTTCAAAAGGATAACAGGAATAAAGAGAGGCACATCATTCATTGTTACCTCTCCTCTCATCATTGTCGTATAAGAATTGACTGTGTACAAACTAATTCAAATATTAAATATGTTCAATATTCATTAAACAAACTTCGGATAAACCTTAAATGTTGTGGACATGTAGTGAACCAAGTGAAAACCATAACTTATTAAATTAATATAATTTCTTTAAAGTAATTAAAATAAATATGTATATAATCAATAGTATGCAATAAGTAACATCCTCTATATATTAATTGAGAACGTGCTGAGCCTATGTGGCAGGCTCGCATGCTTCGGTATCTTATGTGGCAAAAATACATGCTTCGTTATTAGGTTTGGGTAGATTTAATTTACTTCTAATCCAAATATATTTAGGTTCGGATTATCTATAATATTTTGATTATTTATGGTAGGGGTGGGCGCCGGCCAAGACGGTGCTGAATTTGACTTGTCCGGATACCCATCCCACTTTTATGAATCCATCCATGAACGATCCGGGATGATGCACCGTTCGCACCCATGTAATACATGGATATTGTACTAGTATGTTTGATTAGTAGAAACAATATTTTTGATAG